TACCCCCTGGCAACCCAAGACAACTGCGAGCCGCATCCGTGGCGCACCATCTGTCTCAAGGGCCAAGACCAAACCATGAAACGCACGGCAAGTGTATTTTTGAGCTGCGATCGGCTCTTGCTGGCAGTGTGTGTATCGACCAAATCGGACTGGAACTCGACGCTGGTCTCAACTGGCCCCGTCTCTGCCAACCAATGGACCCACGTGGCGATCGTATGCGACAATGTGACGCTGCGGCTGTACATCCAGGGCAAAGAAGACCGAACGCTGTCGCTGAACGACGTGGTAACAACCATCCGTTCTGTTTCGTCCCCGCCCGGTGTGAAAAAAGCCTCCACCGACTACAAGGGGTTCCGCGGGTATTTACAGCACATGCTGCTGTATCCCACCACGCGCGCATGGATGGCCAAGGACGTTGCCAAGTACGTTAAGGAACGAAAGCCAAGTGTGGACTCGACCGACTTGTCCTGTGCCCGTCCCCCCCTCAGCAACCCAGTCACCCCATCGCACATGGACTCGCCTGACGTCGTCACGTACTTTTCCCCGTCCTCTGACGAGTTTCACATGCAAGTGACGGTCTGGATGGGTGGTGGTAGCTGCTCGTCCCCCCCACGGGGACGCATGCAGGTCCTCGCCGCGTGTGCGTCCCCCTCTGGCGGCGTTTTTGCATTCGTGTGGGGTCACCTATCTATACGAACGAAAGACCGCCAGTTTACCACCACAGCACTATGGATGGTCACGCGGTGTAAACCCTCCCATCCAGCGGCACACATTTGGACGCGGCGACGTCCGGCCTCGTCGACTTGTACGTGGGCAATGTGCCGTATGAGGTTCCGTTGATGGCGCCGTGGGCAGGGGACATTGCCGAGACGACCCACTATACGTTTTCAGAAAGCCAACGGAACTTGGCGTTTGACGTGTCATCTACTGGCCCAAACAACCTGCATGGACGTGTGTTGCACGACAGTGGCTGGAGAACAGAGCCCCCTCTCGTCAACCAACTTGCACAACCACGAACCCCCCCCTTGCAGGTCGACACGGACGCCCCCAGCATCAGTGGCCGTATCTTGGCGTTTATGGAACGGATGGCTGTGGTGTACTTGCGATCATCTTGTTGCAAGATACTTGTTGGCTGTCCTCGAACAAGGGTTGTGGTATCGTCTGGTGCTGTGTGGACCCACGTGCTGACGTTTGTGCTGCTGCACTCGCTGCTCCGCCACGCCGCGTTTGAAAAAGACGTGGACACCCAGGGCGGTCAGCCCATCGTCGCGTTGCTTCGAATTCTGCGCGCCAACTTTCAACCGCTGTCGTCTGTGCTGTCGACAGATGTGGCGGTTCCGTGTTTGGCGTGCCCCCCGCGTCTGTCGGCCTCGGCATGTCGTCTTCGTTGGCGCAGTGATTGCACGCGGTGCTGACAAGCTTGTCCACCTGGACCTCGACAGCATCGACGAAGACGACATGTTGATACTGATTCACCATTCAAACTCATGTGGCCAGCACCGAGATCTTCCACCCCACAACCCAGAAACTCGCCGAGTATGTCATTCAGAGCGTGTCGTCATCATGAAGAAAGACACGGACGCTTTGTGCCGATTCCTCTTGTCCCGGAGGCACCTCGTCATGCAATGCGTGCCGCATCCAGAGCTGAATCTCCACGTAGAATTGTTTCCGTGGACTGTCGAGGATGTCCAGTCGTCGTTGTTGGACTTGAAAACCCCATCACAAGTGATCAAGTGCTGGCAGTGCTCGGGTGCATACGTGGCAACTCCCCCGAGCAGTTGGTCGTGCTGTACGAAGCGTGGCACTTGTACTACCGAGACGACCACTGCCAGCTGTCGGCGGCGACGTTCAGCTGTGGCACGTGCTCGTGCATCACGTCCCGACCACTGCCATCGCCGTCGTCGAATCGTCGTCCTGCCTATACGAGTCGAGTCTGGTCCAACAGGTGGCGCTGCTGCAAAATCAAGTGTTGTGCAGCATGCCCCGCGACGGTACTTTAAGGTCGTGAACTGCCCCATTGGCGTCCGAGCCAGTCCAAATGTCAAAGCATCGAAACTAGACCTGACACTAAACATCGGTCAAGTGATCGAGTCCAGTCATGTGCTTTGAAAACCAGACGACGCAGTGCTGTATGTAGCCCACGGGGATGGCTGGGTATTTGACGTGGATCCAAGCGATGGCATGGTGTTGTTGGAAGAACAAGGTAGAGTGAGAATATCTATCTATCCGAAACCAATGATAATATATATATATAGATAATATCATTTGAGTTGTACCATGAATGACCGCATCATATTGTAGTGTTGGCAAGGGACGCTATACCTGCCCATCCCCCTACTTTGTATTATTCTTTAAGCGCGACGTTGCAAGAGACGGTGCAATCCAAGGAGTCGACGTCTACGAAAGGTTGGCTCAAGTTTGGCTCGGTGGGAGAAGGCTGCACCGTCGACACCTCCAACACCGTCGCATGTGAAACCGATGGCCAATGGACCACTGCGTTGGGCAACAAATCCATCAAACAAGGTATTGTCCTTGTAAAGATATTTGGACTTTTGTGCTGAGTCGCCAAATCTATTTATGGATTCTTTTTACGGAATTCTATATGTAAAGAGTTGTCCTGTGGTGATTGTAGTCACACTAATTCAGGTGTCACACTAATTAGATTCTGTTGATTGTTGTTTCCTGCTATTTGATTCGCTAAATATGGCTGCCGATTCTTTTGCACATGGTTGTGTCGTCGATTCGTTCTTCATGTCGCTCCAGTGAACACAACAATATAGATTTATATATGTATTCCGAGTACAGTAAACTACATTCTATAGACAGGTCACATCTCCTAACCACTACGTTGGTGTAGGTTCTGGCAAATACACGTGGCGCATCAAAAGTGCGCCAACGTCGGGCAAATCCTCTTGGGGTTAACCACGAAACCATCATGTACTGTATTGACTGCGTTTTGCATTGGGACGACCGTCGACAGCATTGGGTGGATGCTCACTGGGGACTTTAACCACTGCGGCCGACGATCCCAGCACACTCGACGCTACCTCTTTTTAGCTCCAAGAGCATCCCATTATTGGACTTGATTGTCAACACCACGGCCAACACCCTCGCAATGCCGACACGGGGTGCCATACGGGCCATCGTACGCGCTCGAGTTGGCGGCGGGGGCCGAGTTCTTTCCCGCGGTGAGTCTGTTTCGACGGCGATTGGGTCGATGGCGCTGTCTTGTGCGAATGAAGTGATGAGCGTGTTTCGAGAGGCCATCCACCACGACAACGACGCCGTGAGGATGCGGTGGCTGGCACCGATGGTGGCGCAGTTCGAACATGTGCCTGTGGGCAAGTATGCTGGACGAACGCGACTACTTGATCGATTTGATCGACGATATTTTGCTCTATCGACAGTCGATGGTGGTAACGACCGATGACATGCTGACATTGGCATGTCTTGCGGGGCAATTGTATAGGGATCATGATTGTTGGCAGGGACGTCGATCCTTTGACTGTAAACGAAGCTGGCCCTGAACACAAGTGCATCCAGTACAAGCTCTTTCACGGCGGTGTGCACAAACGAACGGAAAAAAACGCCTTCCTCAAGCAATTCATGGACGGACATTGGTCGACCTTGGACAAGACGATGCTGCGATTTGTGGGCGGGAGTGCGCTGGTGCTACGGATGGGCGGGCCCGCCCTCGACCGCGCCATTCGGGGCGTGGTTGCCACCA